GAAAAAAAAACACTGAGATGAAAAGTTATTGATCAGAAATCTTCACAAATCTCCAATCCTTACAGGAGAGAGAAATCAAAGTCACCTCAAATGGTTAACTTGTTTCTGCCATCTACCTGGCATCAAATAAACTGCTATAGGCCCTTTAGATAATGAAAATTCCAAACACCAAAGGTCATTGCAATTCACCTAAATAAACCAGAGCTCTGCTTGCTCAAGAAGCTGGTCCAGCCAGCCACTGTCACTACTCTAACCTGCTGTCGAACCTATAAATTCATAAATCTTATGTTATTCCCCTTAATTTATCTGATGTTCGATCAGTTTAGTGGTATATTAATGCATATTATCTCTCTCTTACTGATGTTTTTGAAATATAATCTGTCGACACTATTGATTCAATGTAATTTGAAACAGCATTAATGTTGTTTATAACAATAATTGTTTAACTATTCAACATTAATTATTATTATTATTACTATTTACATTCAGACCACGAATCACACATATAAAGATAACTAACAATATCGACTCAATAAGCTAATCACATTCACTAGCATTATTCACGGAATAAAACAATACAAGCAAAGCATGAATACTTGAAGGAGAGGTATCAAATTTCATTTTTTCTCCTACTCTTATTTTGTGGACATCTGATACCTGTTCACTGAACTACCACTTTTCAATAGCCAAATACTCACAAACTACGCAGTTAGTCCCAGTTACTCCCTTGTCCGACACACTCCTAAATCGTCCAAATTCACCAGCCAGTCAGTAATAAGCCTTGATAAGTGGGAAGGTTGGTTGTGAGTCTAGCGACCGCAACTAGTATGGATAACAACGAACACCGCCAATCGAACTTGAAAAGTCTTAAAACTCTGTGTTCTACTCAGAAGGGAATGAGGGAAAAATAGAATGAAAATAAAAGGGGGATTAGTTAATATTCAGCAATTTATCCATAAGCCTTTTGTACTCTTACAAAATGTGTCTTACAACCTAGTGCACTATACTGTCCTTCAGCCTTAGTTTATCGATACCTGAATTTTTGAGGCCACTTGTATGTTTGTTATGCTTTGTTATTTGTGTAGCGATAGGACTGATTTTCAGGGGTAGCATCTCTAACCCGATGCCTAACCTTCCCTCTTTCCCCAGGCTTAAGACCGATTAGAAAATTAGCGAGTTAGTAAACTAGATGAAGTTCCGAGAGGTCACCACTTTCACTTAACTAGGAAGCATCGTTTCAAATACAGGCGACAGAACGGATTAGTATGTCAAAACCACAGGGGGGGGAGATTGGAAAGGAGAGGCAGACCTTCATCAGTCCGAAATCATTTGGAAATCTTATGCACTCAGCATAAAGTTATGAAATTCGGATTTCCAATACTAATGTCAGGTCACTCAGTCAGTTCTTTTATATGGGTCATTTCAAAAGCATTTCAAACAACTTGCTGTAGACTATTATTAACAGCTGCCACCTCCTCTGGTTCTATACCGATGATTAGATGGCCAGTCAAAAACAATTAACAACACGTAAATCTGGCAACTAATCAACCAATCAAGAACCTAGTAGTTAACAAATACTCAGAGGAAAATGTGGATAGATAGGACCTACTGTGAGGAGACCGCTGGATGAAATCCCATGAAATTCGGGCTCTCAAGTGGGTGATTAGGAAACGACAAGCTTGTCATGTGTTCGAGGGTGATATGGAAGAGGTATTGTGAAGAGGAGATGGAAGCTTATGGGTGATCGTGGGGTCAGCTGAAGATGACTACAGAAAACGGGACAAAGTAAAGGTATTCTGTTGAATTTCTAGGTTATACTCGTAATCCAAGGGGATAATACATAACATTAATATTAATGGCAGCACAATGCTGCCACTAGGTGAAGAGTTATTAAGTATTTTTAATAATTCCAAATAAGTCTGTGCTACACTAGATAAGGTAGTAGTAACGATTGGGAACGAACTCGTCCTTCATCTGAGTTACAGCTAATTCTGGTTATTTCAGGTAAGAAAGATCACATTATGATTACACCACACTAAGATTAGTTCCATACTTGTTATTCATCCTGCAAATGAACTATTTCATTCGTTGATTTGATCCCGACAATCAAAAATTTTTAATGAATCTGTCACATTCTATCGAGTGATCATAATGTAGAAAATAAATTATTATAAATTGTATCCCGTCACAAGCATCTGATATTAGTGCTCATTCTCAGGCAATTAGTGTTTCTTTTCCGTTTTCTTCTATTTCCTGGCGCCAAACGCAACTAATATCTCTCTTTGATTTTATATAAGCAAAATGGTATTAAAGTTTGAAAAATAAAGATGAATTTTTCAGTAATTTATAGTAAAAATGGAAAAATAACTATAAAACTGACTTCCTTCTGAGTCGTGTGTCAGTGATAATTTAATTATTAATAAAACTTTAAGGAAAATAAATAAAGTTAAAAAGTATGATAAAATTCCAGAGAAGCTATTTTTCAAAAGCTGTAATCATTGTTAAATCATCGGCCATAATAAAGAATGGATACCACAGTCAAATGACCTCGTGTCAAACAATCCAGTACCTCAGCATTACAAAACGATGCTTTCAATAATCTTCGATGTAAGATTCAACGTGATTTATAGTTAGGATTAGGCATAAGGTTAATTTGGGGCTAGGATTGGGCTAGGTTTGGACTGCGTCGGCGGTTCAGCAGTAGACCACCCGCTGACCACACCTTAAGTGGTCTTGGGTTTAATCCTCAGCCAGAGCACTCCTGAATCCACTCACTAAGCTTGTCGTAAGTCCAGTAAAGAGGCAAGGTTGGGCGTGAGGCTAGCAACGCCACCCCGTAAAAATGAAATTACTACTATCGAAACTTTAAAGCTCAAGCTTGGGGTCCTATGTTTCACCCAGAACGTAAACAAATAAGAAGAGGTTTGTATTAGGGTTAGGGTTAAGGTAAGGGTAAAACTTGCAATGAAGACTATGGACAGCATCCATTTGAAATGTTCAGCGTTGTGACTACCATCAGCAGGATGTATTCGTCATATAGTCAAACATTCATCAGGACTGACTGGTACTCATACAAATTCTCTCCAAGGATTCTGGACATTAAAAAAAACAAGGATTACAGTGGCATATATGTCTATAACCACTCCTATTTAAAAGATGAGACCTGTGTTTGCAGGACTGTGAAAATATACACACTGTCTAATTCATCTTTATTATGGATAGCTATCCTGTAAGCCTACTTTTTATGCTATAAATGTCATATTTCACCTATAAACATATGCTGGGTTTGTTCGAGGTCTTTGGCTGTGGTAAATATTCTTTATTGTTGTTCATCTTTCCTTCCAGTTTCAAAATCTATTAGAGAGATTTTATTTCTGCAAATAAACACCATGAACGACAGTTTCTAAATGGCTGTTCCTCATTCGTTTCGCTTCAGCTATACTGATGAAAGGCACTGCCAGTAGATTGGTTGATTATGATGCAATACTTGGCGTACACATCACCAAAAACATCTCCAACAGCTTACTACAGACATCTAACAGCGACTGTCTTTAGATATAGCACTAAGAAGATATAATTTGTCTAAATCGTGTAATACTGTATTTGCGCAACACATTTCGGACAGTTTGATCACATATGGTCTTGTATTAGGAATATATATATGAAATTAATAAGGAGTTAAGAGGTGAGAAAGTGGACTTCGGTTAAGTTAAAAGGACATATTGAAGGTCAAAATAACAATGAAGATCAATAAACCAAATAACAGAGGTAATAGTACATCTAACCTGGCTGTTATCAAAACAAAGTTTACTGAGGTAGGTTTAGTGTAATGGTGAATTGTTTTTGAACGCATAAAGGTCGTTTAGACTTCCTAAGGCTTCCACAAACTTTAGGATACGCCGCGAACACGTTTTATAGATAGGTTTAAAAGATGTGTAAACGTCAATTTTATGTCCTGTCTCTATAGAGGAGCTAGGTCTCCTGTTCTCACCATTAATGGGTTTTGAAGATTCTACTTGTTTCTGGAGCCATTTGGCAATATGCTCTAAAGCCAGCCCTTATTTGCAGAGATTGATGAATCCTCTTTATGTATGTGTGTTCACACGTACATTCAAATTGGTAAATACAGTGTGTTGCGACATCATTTTTCGCACGTTCAAAGGGCTTAGATAGATATATTGGCTTCATATTCTCAATTATTACGATGTTAGCTGCATAAAGAGTCTTTTTTTAACAGCAGCGTTCAGCCTTTGTCTAGTTATCATGCTGCTATAATGCCCCATATAGGGTAGCTTGATGTACACGTCTTTCTTCAGGGTGAGTCGGAGAGTGGGTCTTGATGTTCTGACTACTTTATATCTTCTGATGAACTTGTATGGATAATTGTTATCAACCAGAGCTTGTGTCAACTTTCTTTCTTCTTCATCAAGTGTGTCTTCTTCGTCGGATTCTGCTGAAGAAGTACTTTACTAAGGCTCTTTTGTACCGAACAGAGCAGAAACTGTGGTGATTAAGATACTGACTTGTCCAGGTAGAATTTCTATAAAAAGATCTTTTTATTGAACCATCAAACCGTCGAATAAGCAATATGCCTAGGAAAGATAAGCAATTATCTTCCTCTTCTACAGATGTAAGTGATATGCTATTCTATATTTTCTAAAAGTCAGCATTGCTCTTAAGATTATCATATTATTTTTATAGTAGTGCTCATAATTATGTAACAGCATGTGGAAATTATCATGTGTTATTTGACTTCAAACAAGTTTCTCTTTATTGACATGATTTATATTATGAAGAAGTCAATTCATTGTCAAATGACTTCATCACAGGTTCCTCAATTAGTAGATATTTTGGGCACATTATACATCAATAAATTTAATTGCTCGAAATTCTCTTAATTTTCGTATATATATATATATACTCATGTGCACCTTCCAGTATAAATAAGCTGTTTTCAAGGTATCTCTCGAATTTCTGGTCTGATCAAGTGGCAAGAAACCATGGAACCCTTCATTGATACATTCAATGCAATCGACAAAAGCAGAAGTAATGTGATTACAATCGATCAACTACGAAATTACGTCAGAGAAAATCATTTAGATAGAGAGATGATTCCGGTGAGTGCGTTTCAGTTTAACTATGCATTAAATGTTCCCCACATTTTGGTTTGTACATTTTTTAAAAGAAGATATTTATTCAATAGAAGTTCACAAATGTACATTAAACTGGTGTTAACTAGTAAGCCTGGGTGCAATAGTTTAGATGAAGCATTCTCTTTTTGAGCCTGGAAAATCTATTCTGAAGCTTTGTAGATATAATCAAATCAAATTTCGTTCATTGTAGACTCACACTACACTCTGATGACAGTGTCATCAGTACTAGTCTATAATATACTGGCATTTCATGATATAAGATGGTTGGAAGCAATCGACAGAAAGCTTTGGACCTAGGTTTCGTGCTACCTGCTACTCGTCAGCAAGCCGTATCTGCAACCTTGAAGGAATCCATGTCCCTTCTGAGATTCGAACCCTCATCACCCATTGCTGCAGTAAGAGACTTTACCACTGAGGTATTCCAGCTCGCGATTGACCTCCTTATGCTTTACCAAGTGATAATTTAAAATTGTATTAGTATTATTCCCTTAGGTTCCATGTGGAACATTAATTAAGCTTCGACAACACATCTCCACTTTTTCCTATCCTCCGCCGTCATCTTCAGCTGAATCCGTGATTGCCTGCAATCTCTCATCTCTTCCTTACACGATCTCCTCCATGTCACCTTCGCACCAAAGACTCACTTGTCACGTCCCATTAGCGTTCCACTCGAGCTATGGCATGCATTACGCGCTATCTCATTTAACGGTCTCTTCAATGTATGCCCAATTCATCTCCATTTTCTCCTACATATTTGTTGAGCAATCAGATCTTGATGGGTTTGTACCCAGTTTCTTGTTACTAATTCTTTCTGGCTGGCCGGCCGGCTGGCCATTCGACCTTCAGTATGGAGCCAGTGTGAAAGGTGGGAGCTGTTGAAAAAAAGTTTCTAACTAGCTGGAAATCTTCTTTCATGACACACAATGAAAGTTTCTGACTCGTATAGAAGACTTGACTGAGTGACTTCACATTTATGTCGAAAATCTAAATCTTGTTATTTATCCTGACTAAGTGCAGTACAGAAGATTTCCAAATAGGTTTCAGGTTGATGAAGGCGTATCTTTGAAATAATAATAATGGATAATAATAGTGTATCTTTCCTTTCCGATTCTGACTGGCTTTGACATCTTCATCCGTTCCAGCTGTCTGTAGTTGAAACAGTTCTAGCTGCCAAGATAATTGAAGGCAGAAAGCAACCTCTGTCAAAACTCTCCCGTTAATGGTAGTGGGTGCTGGTTGTTGTTGTTGTTGATTTTGCTGTCGGTTGGTTGGTTGGTTGGTTATCTTCATCACCTCCATCTTCTCTATGTTCACCTGCAGTCGTGTCTTCGCTGGCTGCTTCTTCAGCCAGTTTGTTGGTTTTTGCAAAAATAGGCATGGTGGTTACTGGAGCTTAGGTTCTATTAATAGTAATAGTAATCGTCTCTTAATAATAATAATAATTTGCTTTATTCCAAAACAGTACTTGTGATACAGAATGGAATTCTCAGCATTTTACTACAGTATTGCATCCAGTTAGTACAGTATCGATAAAGAAAATTCTACATAGATTAAGGAAATCTCAGTTCATTATGACAACAACACATTGGCATGTCGGTAGCAAAGCCAAAATTAAACAGAATGTTTGAAGGTGTTAGAAAAGTAGGTGCTAGCATATTTTCTGGCGTAAGCAGAAGAAAGAAACAAAGCTGCACATAACAGAGGAAAAAAAGAGAGAGAAAAGGAAAATAAAGAAAGGAAACGTTGTAACTGTAGATGATATGAGTTGGAAAGACGAGATCCAATTGTTCTACTGACTATTTAATAAGTTATAGGTATCACGCCTAATGCTTTCTTTATCTCACAGAACACTGGCCAATTACAGTATGGTTGAGTTTTTGCACATACTAGTGCGAGCATATAGTTTTCTATATAGGCTTCTGGTCTTGTCTGATGAGATACAAGGGTAGAGTTGTGAATGAAGAGAGTGGTGTGAGTTAGATAGAATGGATTGAACCCATTTTTCACATGAGTCCGAGTGCCTGTCCACCAGAATATTAACAAGCTGGTTAATTGGCACGATTTCATTGAAAAGTTTCCACATGCTGATAGGAGATTTGCATGATAAAAGTCCTTGGTTATAGATAGCATTAAGATTTTTGATTTCAGATTTGATTTGAGCATTAGTCTTTTTAAGTTTTAACTTATCTTTGAATTTATATAATGTTTCTTTTTGCCTGGGAAGTTGTTTGAGATGAAGAGACGAGAAGCGGTCGAGGCGTTTGAATAGTGTTTGTTTGGGACGGCATGTATCAAGGTAGAACTTAAGATAATCCATTATATTGGTGATTGAGTCATCTAATGTACTTTCATAGAATAGATCCCAGTTAGTATTTTTTAACATGCATCATAGATTGAGTAATTTGTCAGGTGTGTAGCATCTTTGTTGTGCTATCGTAGACAGGTGTGAGAAGACTTTAATATGTGTTTTGCTGTATATTTTTGGCAAAACACGAACAATACAGTGATCAGAATTAAGTGTCGGTGCACGTCTACGTGTTTCATATACTCCTTCGTCATTAGTAAAAACTAAATGGAGTGTTTTGTCAAGTCGAGTGGGAAATTTGACTATGTTTGTGTGACCAAGAGCCTGAAGGAAGGAGCAATCTGAGGTGATGAAGTCCGCAGTAATAACGGATAGAGAGTTGTCGAAGTTGTCAGCAGCAAACATGGTGAATTCATCAGCAAAATTAGATAGATCAGACGGAGAGCAACTAGGAGAAATGTACATGTTTGTAATATAGATTTGTTTATATTTGGGGAGATGTTTGGGATGACATTTGACAGTAATACAGTCAATGAAGTCATTTGAGAAGGTGAAGCAGACATTATTGGAGACAGACCATTTGGAGTGAATAAAAGTTGCAACTTCACAAACATTTTTCTTATTACAACATTGACGGTCTTGTCACAATAAAAATAAATCCTTTAGTGAGATAAGATTGTCATCATACGGTTCATGTAACCACATTTCTTGTAATGTGATTATGGCAGTATTATGATAAGTATCAGTGGACATCAAGGACTGTAGGTACACTTTGTTGTTTGGCAGAGAGCGGCAGTTTGTGTTCATTATGACAGGGACCGTAGTTAAGTTTATTGGTGTACGTTTGAGAGCTTTCTGTCAAGCACTACGAAGCTTACTCCTTGATTTCTCGGGAATATGAAACTCATTTGGTCGTAAATGATTAATAAAGTTACGAGAGAAAATGATCCTGTTAGAATTCATATTTAGGTGATAAATAAATGTGAGTAAATGGTAGATTGGATGCAATATGTAGATATTATAGTAGCTGGACCAAAAGTCAACAGGCCGCCAAGGTCAAGGTTGTATCGTAATACTAGCTTTATTTGGGGTAGTTCTTTTATAGTATGCAGAATTTTCAATCACATTTCCCCTTCGTGCAGGATCGTTAGATAAAATATTAATTGACAGCAGATCCTGTGACACAGTGCTGTCTCACCTGAAGCACACACCAATCCATTATGACCTCTTCTTTGTCTCCTTTAAGAAATGTACGTCTTTTGGTTGAATACCAACTATGAAACGTTCAGGAGTACAGTTTTCTAACCAAGAACATAACTCAGTCAGAGTTATCTCGCGTACTGGGATACACTTCCACCCAGGACTGCATTTCTTCTCAAGTTTAGTAGGAAGTGGCGAATCAGCAGTTTGTCATTATTGTTCCCTTGGTTTCCGAGTGGAACGTGAAGCTTCAACACCACGGCTCGGCTTTGTGCTATTCTGTTCAGTTCACCTCAGCTGCCCATAACGTCTTATCTCTTCCTCACACTATCTACTCCATATCTGTCAACCTTGGATGACTCACTCGCCGTTCCCCATTCTTATTCCACTCGAGGGCCTAGGGCGCGATGTCACCCATTGGTCTCCTCAGCTCATGCATAATTTACCTCCATTTTCTTCAACAGGTTTTAAATGTTTTAAATACTCGCAAGAATAAATAATAACATTTGAGGAACAAGAGGAATTATATGTAATACAGGGATGTAGGCATTTGGTAGTCCAAGTTTTTAGCAGGTTGCAGTAGAAAGATGCATAATGTGAAGTATTATTTTAGTATCTTGACTAGTATTTGTGCATAATTTTTAAATGGCTTAATTCCATTTCAGACACTATCTAACCATTTATGTAGTAATAAAAATGTATTTCAAGTATTGGTTTTGTATGGAAGGTCCTGGGTTCGAACCCCGGTGGGTGCGTACTGCTAAAGAGTCCGAAAACTAAGACGAAACAGCTGTCCAGTACTCTCAGGTTTTCCAGCGGCTCTCTAACTGATTTCAGCTCGTGGTTAAATGTATTTGTCAAATCCTAAAATATCATCAAATTGTTTCCTTTTTTTTACACGATAAATGTAATGTGAGATAGATTAAACAGTAAGTAAAGAATTTTGTAGAGAGCAAATGATCATTAGTAGTTCTCGCACTCGTGCTATCAAAAGCAAATGAATTTTACTTATCTTTGAGAGAGAAAATTTATTTTAAAGACATGTACATACGCATACGACATATATGTGGTTCTGTTTATACCATCAGGAGTGGTGTCAGACAGAAACGCGTTATTACCAGCCGACTTCTGAAATGATTACGGCGGAATAAAGAATTTTGCACCAAAACGCAGTATGAGAGGATAGAATCAAGAAGTTTGTAGCACTTGCTCTCCTCACACTATGATGGCAACCGAGTGTAGTGTATGCTACCGACAAGAACGGTGAATAGAAGAAAAACGGATCAAGTAGGAAAGGGAAGAAGTGAAGATAACTGTGGAGCTATTATAAGAAGCGTGAATTAATGACAAAGGAAGAGGAATACAAATACTTTTTGAGAATTAAAGTGTCGGTGTGAAGTTTCCACATCTCGCCATAAGTGTACGTCATTCTGCCAAAGGAATGATCGGGATTATACAAACGATAATGTTCTACATTTATATCAGTTATTAAATACCCAAAGTACTTGTTATGTTATCTTCAATTAGTTGTTCTAAACTAGTTGCATTGTATTGTTGCACTGCAATGTGGGTAGTTGTCTGACTTCCAAACATCACCTGTTGTTTCATTCGCAGACAATTCTGAACAGGTGAAGTTCACGTTTAGTTTGAAAAACAATGGTGAAGATAATTTTCAATACTAACAACGAGCAAATCACGTCAATTTCATTGTACTACTTACAAATTATGAAGTAGCATTCCTATAAGTTATAAATTTGCAGCTTTGTAAGCCCACTATATTTTAAGTTTTTTACATATATATTTCTTTTCATTAGAAATGGCAAAATTTGTTCGATCCTGCGGGAACTGGAAAGATTACCTTTCAAAGATTCTGTGATGTTCTTGGAATCAAACCGGAGAGAATGTAAGTTCTATTAACATTAGACATTACAGAAAAATAAAATTCTAAATAGAAATGGAAAGGCATTGGATGTATAGAGCTGAATAGCCCATTCACAATACTTTTCATTAGTTCTTAAACTTAATCATAATGAAATTAACTTGCTGTGCGTTCTTGTATCACTCTTGCTAAGACGTAATATTGTAAGCGTACAGTGGTGTCATTTTTCAGGATGCGGTCATTCACTATGGATATTATCTGAATGTTTGCTAAACAGTGTCTCTGTGACAAAACACTAGTCAGTGAGTAACTAGTGTCATCCATCCAGTTTCTGTATTTTCTACAGACTGAACTCTATCAGCCATATTTGTAATTTGGCCACCATGCTAGGTGACTCACCAGCACAGTGCGCTCTACATTGTTGTTTTCAGACTGCAGATATACCTTCCTGACTAGTGAGTGTCAATAAGCACGGGACCTAGGTCTAAGTATTACTTCAGATTGCTTCCAATCATCCAGCAATGTCTCTAACTAACGATGCCAACCTTTAGAAGTGTTGAATGAAAGTTTGCTGAATTTATTTGTTTTAATCAGTGAATGTCACTTTTGTTCTTAGACATCAAAAAGTGTCCCGTCCTCTACGAGAATTTAGGCGTGTGGTAGAATGTAGTTCCATATTAGATATGACAAATATTGACACAGTATTAATAAAATGATGACATTTTGAGTGTAATTAATTGGTCATAAACATATCGATGTATTCATATAAGTTATATCATTCATCCACTTGCTCGTAATGTCGAGTTTATAAATTATATTCCATATAAAGTATGCAGTAAGAACAGCTAATAATTCTGAATCAATAATATAAATCGAATTTTCAACGCTGCTTGATTTTCAATGGTTCTGAAGCTGATTTTATTTTATAAAACACAAAATATTCGTGCAAAGAATATCCTTTTCGATAATTTCCTCTCCTAACTCCACAATTATATATATGCATGTTTGTATACATAAAATATTCTAGAGTAGTAGTCAATGACAATATTAGTGTTTTGTAAATAATATCGATTCGTAAAGTATGATCAATGCAATTACAGTTCATTAAAGATGCTTAAATTATAATAATAATTAAGATGTAATAGCGGATAGAATATCAACTAAAATTAGGAAAATTCCACAGAAATTCATGATCATTCAAACCTAGGTGTCCAATGTAAGGATAATATCCGAACTAACTTCTTTTGGATGTATAAATTAGGCTTATTAATATGGATCCCCACAGCCCCAGCAATATTTAGTAGGTCGAACCCTTAACGCGAAATTGAGATTCGTAGGTATGCAGTAAATGACCCTAAAAGCATGGTTAACATCACTCTTGTTTTCTGTATCCACAAGATGAGATAGAATGGCGCTGCGAATAGATTTTGTTTGTCCTTTACTTAACCACACAGGGTGATGTGAGGTTCGGAAATTCGACGAGAAACACGCCTAATTGTGCAGCCTATGCAACTAACTGGCTCACTCCACAGGAGCAGTTAAATTGGTAGACACACATGGAAGAGGCGAAATTAGGCAGTTTGTCTTTTGATCCCGAACGCAGAAGAGGAGTGGCTTTAAAGATACAGCGTAATTCAGCAGCAGGAAAGGCTCTTTTTACCGCACTTCTAAGGCGCTGTGTTATTATCTCACTGGTGAAAACATTCAGTATCCTATTTGCTTTTAATTCAGCTTTGATTTTCATGTTGTTTGAGATGGAACGAAATGCTCAGCCCCTGTTGACACGTTGGTTTCTACCACATACACTTCACGGATGTTTGCGGATTAATTTGAAGTAATCTGGTGAATGGTGGCTAGCAGTAGGACCCAAAATACACATTCCACCTCCACTGAGACGCACTGCCACTATTCATCTTTTCAATGCCCAAAAGATTATCCATTAAACCATTTGGGCGCCAAGAGCCACCTCATGTGCAACGGTCATCAGTTACTACTGGTTTTTAATTTTGATTTCTCTATTGATTAGTCCTGGCATGCTGGGATGATCGGTCTCAAATATGGCGAAACGCGAATGCTGGATTCCACTGCTAGTCACCATCCATCAAAATTAATTCAGGATCCTGGTTTGGAAAATAAAGTACACTCTAAAAACTCTCACCTGCAGTTTATACTTTTTGCATTCCGATAACCAACAAGAAGGGTCATCTTTTCTATAAACGAAATGTATTAAATCGACCGATGAATATCTCTTCCTGCTTTCTTATGATTGCGTATCACTCGTTCTTGAAATCGGTTCCAGATTTCTATGAGGAAAATAGCTATTATTGGATAAAATGCTGATGAGTTCTATCCTTCGGTGTAGGGAAAGTCGATAGAAGAAAGAGAGCATTAAATGAACCTAGGAATTACCTTGTGTCTAACCTCACAGCTGGAACTTAATGCTCAATAGCCATGTGCATAGACTGGAGTTCGACTTCCGGACGGCGCACATCCTTACTTCTCTTAGCCGGTTGAAAGGCCCCTCCCATAGGAGGCAGATTGGGTGTGAGACTACTAAACCCAACCCATAAAAACTAATAATAACAATATGACTGGTAGTGGAGCTTCGAAACTCAAGCCCAAAAGCGTAAGTTCCACTCGGAACTCAGAAATAAAAAATTTTTTTAAATAATAAATAAGTTCACATACAACTTTATTATTTTAAAACAGTTAGTTCCCTTTATGAATTTAGACAAGACAATAAGAAGACGAAATTTATCTGAATCGTGTAATGCTGTATTCGCGCAACACATTTCGAACAATCTGATCACACAGCCACGGATTTGTCATAGGAATATATATGAAATTAATAAAGAGTTAAGAGGTGAGAAAATAGACTTAGGTCAAGTTAAAAGGACATATTGAAGGTCAAAATAACAATGAAGATCACTAGACCAAATAACGAAGGTAAGTCTGTTATGGTATTAAAACAGAATTTACCAAGGAAGGTTCAATATGATGACGAATTGTTTTTGAACGCATAAAGGTGGTTTAAGCCTTCTAATTGCTAGGGTTTCCACAAACTTTAGTATATGCCCCAAACATATTTCGTAGATAGGTTTAAACGTCAGCTTCATGTCCTGTCCCTATATTATGCTTCACAATAGAGGAACTAGGTGTCCTGTTCTCACCATTAATAGGTTCTGGGGATCCTATTTGCTTCTGAAGCCAGCCCTTATTTGCAGAGATTGATAAGTCCTTCCTGTGAACGTGTGGCCAAACGTACACTCAAACAGGTAAATACAGTAGAATGTGACATAATTTTTCGCATGTTCAAAGGGCTTAGTTAGATGGATATGTTGGCTTTACATTCTTAACTCTTTTTTAATTTCATATATCTATTCCTATGACAAGTCCGTGGCTGTGTGATCAGATTGTTTGAAATGTGTTGCGCAAATATGGACATTACACGATTCAGACAAATTACGTCTTCTTATTGCTTTGCCTAACTTTATTATTAATAAGTAGTTCTATCAAGAGGAGCTGATGTTATCCTTTCTTTTTTTAATTTCACTTTCTTCTTTCTCTAGTCAATCTGTGAGTATAAAACCTGCCAGCGCAAATTTACCTCCAGCTGGAGTTCGTCCAGAAATCTTAATAATTATGCAAGAATTACCACTGGCAGATCAAATCAGAATATCTGAAGAAGCTTATCGGCTTGCTCAACCAAAAGATAAATTCATTGAAAAAGATGTTTCAGAAAAGCTTAAAAGATGGCTGGATGCTACATATGGTCGTCATTGGCATGTAACTCTTGTCAAGGGTTCCTACTGGACAACGTATACGCATACACCGAATTGGTCATTCCATTTCAAAATCGATCAACATTCATTCATCGTATATCGTACACAAGAATAGATAATTGCTTAACGAAGATGGAATAGTGCTTAGTAACTTATTATATACATAAATCAGAATTAAATCTGTTGTCTATTACTTATTGCACAAGATAAATATAGCTGTTTTACAGTCTTCTCCGTTTTTCAGTGGAAAAATTAGTGCAACAATAAGAGTATACTTTAGTCTTACGCTATTATTATTATTATTATTCCCTTGGATTCCTAGTGGAACATAGGGCTCCAACTGCAAGTTTCCACTTGCTTCTGTCTTCCTTCTGCTGTACTTTTCACCTGAATCCATGTTAGTCCATACTGTTTCAACTCCTCTCTCTTCACACGATCTCCTCCATATCACCCTTGGACACGTCCCACTGGCAGCATCCCTTTCGGGGTCCACTCGAGCAATGGCTTGAAGCGCGCGCGATTTCTCACAGCGTCCTGCCTCCTCAGCGAATGTCCATCTCCATCCATCTCCACTTTTTCCTGCATATTTGTTGGTTGGCGATTGCTTCTTGTTTTGTTTGTCCCCAGTCATAGTTTCTTGTTGGTGATTCTTTCCGGCCCGGCCATCTGATCTTCAGTATAGAGCGAAGACAGTTGTTAATAAAGGTCTGCAGCCTTTTGGAAATATTCTTTGTGATTCGCCCACCCGCCCGCCAAGTTTCTGACCCGATCCGTACAGAAGAACTGACTTGACGTTTGTATTGAAAATACGACCGAATTTTGTTGTTGATTCTGACTGAGTGACGAAGATTTCCAGATTGGTTTCAGGTTGATGAATGTGCTTCTCGTCTTCCCGATTCTCGATTTGACATCCTCGTCCGTTCCTACTTCCTGTAGTTGAGACAATGCTTCCTAGATAAGCGAATGAATGAAGTAACCTCTTTCAAATCCGTCCTGTTGATAGTGATTGGCACTGGATGTTCCTGTTGTTGTTGGTTGGTTACTTTCATAACCTCTGTCTTGTCTATGTTCACCTATAGTCCTGTTTTTGCTGCTTCTCACCAGTTTGTCAGTTTTCGCTTGTAGGTCATCGATTTTGTGTGACATCAAACATAAATGATCCACGCGCGAAATCCAGGTCTTCTAGGTTCTTCACGTCGGTCCAGGATATTCCTGTCTTCTTGTTTCCCATTGTCTGACGCATAATCCAGTCCACCACAATTAGGAATAATAAGCACCCTTGTCTGACTCCTGTGTTTACTCCGACGCCTCGCTGAGTTTTCTGTTGTGGATCACTTGACATGTGCCGTTGTCGTACAGCTGTTGAATAAGGTTGATGAAAAGTCTTATACTAACTTTGTATTAAACACTGGGATACTAGTGGACTAGTGTGAAGAGGATTTAATTTTACAGTGTGACTGGTACAAAATGAAAGACTACATTACAACGGTAGAATACTTCCACCAACCTTCATTGATTAGACACTAGTCAGTAACTAATATCATGTGTCTGGTCATTTGTTTGATGCCAACTGAATAATATTAGTCGAGTTTGCAATATGGGGACCATGCTAAGAGGTTCGATATCATGGGGCAGTTGTCAGAAGGGACATGAGTTCCCTCAAGATTGTAAATACACCCTGTTGACGAGTTCTAACGAGTACGAAACCTAGGTTCAAGTCTCTAGCTACCTAATAACAATCACTCTTCAATACAACGTTAAATCATGATATAAGTAAACATGAGAACACTTCTGTGAGTTTTCTAACGGCTTGATTTTATTTTCAGGCATATTTCTCATCTCATTATTTACTATTTGTGCAATCAACACAAGCTAAAACTGTTGTCCAAGATATTAGTTGGTTACAAGGTAATGTTCATTGATATGGTAATTTCTCTAGTGAGAGGAAAGGTGTAGCGTTCAAGCTATTCAAAATAAGACGATCACACTGTTCTCCCTGCGTTGTCCAAATGTAACAACATCCTCCCCAGTGATTTTAAAGTGCGGATAGAGATATGATATGTACAGACGCTTACTCTGCTGAAATCGAATCTTGAGTAATTAATATGCCTTCTTTGCTATTTGAGAGGAATATTGGAAATCAGAAATACATCTCATGAGTCTTCTGTTCTGTGCAACTAATTTCAACTGGCGCCAAAACTGCTCACATTCTCTCACTCTCGCCTTGTGCGATCCTCACTATATCACCCTCGAATACTCATAACGTCGCTTCCCATTTAAGTTCCAACCATAGTGTGTAATGTCATTTAGTAGTCTCCTCAGTCTATTCGCGATCCATATTCATTTCTCCGTACATGTGGGTTGGTTGATATGTCCTTGACTGGTTTACTATCAGAGTCGCATGTTGTTTGCTTATCTTGGCCAAGTTAAACTTTAAGCACCACTCACTGCCAGTGGAGTGCGGCTAGCACTAATGACCTTGAAACGTTCATCGAGCAAGTTTGTGAAACTCGGCAAATAATCTTGTCATTATCAACAAAATATCTTCATTAAAGTGTTTTGATATTAAATAGGATATTTGAGAAGTTTCAGCTTAGGTTTGGGAAAGATTAAGTTACGCTTTAAGCCAAGGACAAGTTATGGTTAGGTTAATCCATTAAAGGCGACATTAGGTTTAGTTCAAGTTAGATTACGGTCAGTTTAGGCATATTTTCACGTTAGGGCTAGATCTAGGAAAGATTACGGTTAGGGTTAGGGTTAGAAGACCTAAATAATCACATGCATAGAATGTGGTTAAATTACTCTGTTGATATAAGAATAGAACTTGTGCACTGTAGTAGAGTATAACTCCATTGTGAGCAAAATTTATTCTGATAAATTCTCACAGTGGTATACAGTAATATTTACTGATGACGTTTCGAGCACAGTTTATTGTCCAGTGAATGTTACTGGATAACACTGAGACTTTATCAAAATAAATTTTGTCGACAATGGAGTTATACTTTGTTGATACTCCAACGCAAAATTGAAATCTATTTTTATCAAATGTGAGAGGAAGGTGTCATCTCTAACACGTTTCTACAGTTTTCTGTGCATTATTTCATAAATATATGTATTCCATGCACAAAAATGCCCCTTTCACGTGATTGGTGCGTTCAAAGTCATTCGCTCATTGTTAGTTGGTGGTGCTTAAAGCTTAACTTTGTCCTTATTCTTTCTGGTTAACCATCTGATATTCAGTATGGATTTAGTGAAGGCAGAAGTTAATTGAATCCTTCTGTGGACTGCTGGAAATGGTTTCTATTAGGTGGAGCTGATTATCTGAATCTCAGAGAAGCAACCATTGTCTTGAAATTAGTGTTGAACACTAGGATCTTGCCTCTTGTGTTAGTGAAAATGACTGCAGCGATCACAGAACAAAGGGCGTTTGTCCTGGGTGGCTTAGACGTTCTTCTTCTAGCTAAAAATCAGTTTATTTAACAATGGCAGATGCTCCTTCATAGGAATTTATTTTGTTCTCCGTGAATTACCAATATATTAAGGATTTTTCCTTCTTTCATTTCCAGCTTATGACTGAAGCACCATGTCATTTTATTTAAAGTACTTTGCAACTAATAATTGTTGGATTTAGACGTCAATGTTATCCTCTAACTTTTGTCTGAGTATTTAGCATCTCTGACTATTACGATAAATTCCACTTGAAACCAAGAATTCGCACAATTATGTAACTGACAATTAGGAATCACCCTTCACATGAAATCATCTTGAATTTCACCTTATTATACCGGACAATTTTAAACTCCGTTATCAGTAAGATGGATTGGAAGTGGTTTCCCCCCCCCCCGCCCCTTAAACTGGTGCTCTTCACGTCTTCACCACTACATTCATTCGAATTTCTATCCTCACTGACTTTCATGCCGATAATTTACTTTCGGATTGTAAGTCTTTCAGTTTTCTTGACATGATACATAAATCTCGCAGAGGAATCCAGATCTTCTGGGTTATTTTTGTCGGTTCAGCATATACTTGTCTTTTGACGTCCCACAACCTATCGGGTGTTTCAGTCCACCAAAATCCGGAAGGTCATCAGCAATAATAATAATTTGCTTTATTTCAAAATAGTACTTGCGATACAGAATGGAATTCTAAGCATTTTACTACAGTATTGCATCCAGTTGGTACATTATCAACACATAAAATTCTACATAGATTAAGGGTAATCTCAGTTCATTATGACAACAACTTATTGGCATGTCGGTAGCAAAGCCAAATATGAACAGAGTGTTTGAAGGTGTTAGAAAAGTAGGCGCTAGCATATTTTCTGGCGTAAGCGGAAGAAAGAAACAAAGCAGCACATAACAGAGGAAAAAAAGAGAGAGAAAAGGAAAAGAAAGAAAGAAAAACGTTGTACTTATAAAAGATATGAATTCGAAAGACGAGATCCAGTTGTTCTACTGTCTATAACAATTTAGTGCTTGCTGCAAGTGTGATGTGTGTTACTGACAAAGGTAGATAGGAAGGATGTTTCACTTCAATTTATAATAGCTACGGTCAACTCACCATATCATTATGTCTCGAAATGGCTAGCTCATATCCTCGAACTGGTCCAGAGATATATGGCAACGTATATCCTTAGAGACACACTTGATTTCATTGATTTAGTCAAACATGTCATGTGTATGAGGGACAGGTACTTCCTCTAGATGTTACCTCCCTATTCACAGGCATCACTCTAACTAACACAATATGCTCCATATGCGATAGTATAAAACTTAGGCACCTATAAGTTCCCCTTTCCACTAACTACCTGGAGGAAATGCTTCTCATTTGTACGTTTAATATTCATTTCAAATTCAGCAACTAACTCTAAGCAAAGAAATACGGTGTGGTTATGGGGTCTCTTCCTAAGTCCACTCTGTGCTGACTGTTTCATAGCGAGACTTGAAAAAAATATCCTCGATCCGCTGATCAGTGAACTGCTTCTTTAAAAAAGAGATATGTGGATGATACTTAAATAAATTGTGATGGAAAATTTGATTTCAGAAATTTCCTCAACACTTTCAATGCGGCACGCCCTTCAATAAAATCCACTTTAGAATTGGGAAACAAACATGG